TTAAAACCGGCAAACTTACCAATGAAAGAATTATTTGAAAAATAGTTTTTTACTAAGCAAGGTGATAGGGTAAAAAGTCACTTTTAAAAGCAGAAATCCAAACAACCACTAACAGTAACAAAAGTACTTCACTATTTCTTTTTGGTCTTTTTACCACCTACACCTCCAAAGAAACTTGATATCGATTTCATGCCTTTATTATCCACCATGGATAGTGACTTTTGAGCTGCTGTTAACTTCGTGGCAGTCTGCAGTTAACAATAAGAGTAATAATAATAATTATAACATTGATAATAATAATCACAGTCATAACAATGATGATGATAATGATGATGATGACGATGATAAAAATAATAGTAGATAAGTTAATAATAACTTATCAATACAATTTCAAAAATCTCCAAAATTTTGACTGGTCTTTATTATACCAGTGCACCATACTGGAAACATTACATAGGTGATTTTCAATAACATTACATGGGCAGTAGAAATCTTCACAAAAATAACAAGATCCCATGATCCATAATTTCATGTGACCAGCTAAAGCAATTCCCTTAATTTTTGTTAGATGAGAAGTGAAAAGAATTCTGCATTTGACATCTCCATTCCCCCCACAAAGTGCTTGAAAACTTGTTCCTCTACCAAAAAAAAAGGAATTGATATTGGATGCTTAATTAGCCATTCAAAACTCAGGATATACTCCATTTTAACTTACTGCTTGTCAGTGCAAATGATTAAATACGAAGATTATGAAAGACAATCATTATCAAAGAAAAAGGCATCTGCCTTCTGTGCTGCACCCTCCTAAAGCAAACAGTTTGCATTCGAATCAAAACATTCACTTCTGTCTCATTGACTCAGAGGTATTACTCTGAGAACAAAGGGGGCAAGTTTCTATAGAAACTGTGGTGCTGCGTCAGTGGGAGAGTATAACAAGGCAATATACTATTGTCAACAAAGTCGATAACGAAAATTGGCCACTGTAAAGAGTTTTAAAGCTTTGAAACACAGCTTTGAAACTCTTCCCGTGGCCAATTTGTTATTCAACTCAGTCAATAATACTATATTATCCTGATATACTCTGAGAACACTTCTTTCTCTCGGCTACATTCATTTAATCCTTTAACTTCCAGATCAAATTTGTAATTCTCTTCGCCGTTAAATATACAATTCTTAAAATGTTAGTTACGAGACTTTAGTACTGGATCAACTCATTATCTCCAAATTGATGTTTTTCTTCATTCTCATCACTTATCTGGTTGATATTGTATTAATATTGTAAGGAGAAATTTTGTCTTGGTCACTCATGGGAGTTAAAGGGTTAAGTGGGAGACGCGGTGGCCTGATATACTAGGGGAAAAATACGACGAAATACTGGGGGGGGGGGGGGGGTAACAATGCAATGGACTAGCGTCCAATCCACGGAGGGAGAAGTGATACTCCTTGTTGCTTCATGCTAAGGAAATTGAGATAAGCTCTGGCGAGGTGGACCACTTGACTACAGAGTTTTTGACACATCAAAGCTTCAGACATTCAGAC